AAAAATTTTTTTTTTTTTTTTTAAATGTACTTGTGGAGCACCTGGGTGGCACAGTTGGTTAAGCGTCCTACTCTTGGTTCAGCTCAGGTCATGATCTCGGGGTCCTGGGATCAAGCCGCATCAGGCTCAGTGGGGACCCTGCTTGAGATTCTCTCTCCCTTTCCCTCTCCCCCCGCTCCCCCCTACACACACACCCTCGCTCTTTCTCCCCCTCCCTCTCTCAAAAATAAATAATTCTTTTTAAAAAAATGTAGCTTGGGAAAAAAAAGTTTCGTGAAGTTTCATGAAAAAAGTTTCTGAAGCACTGACTTTGGCAAGTTTCCTAACCTCTTCAGATCTCAGTTTCCCCTTCTTTCAGATGAAGGTCAGATGAGGTGTTCTCCTCAGCTCTCCACCGCTGGCTCTCTGAGCTCTGGTGTAAATGGATGGCAGCGGTCATTGTGGGAGTTCAGGAGCGGGTAGCTTGCAGGGCAGGACGAGCAGTGCTGGTGCTGCCTACTGGAATTCTGCCGGGAGAAGGAGCTGGGATTTTGCTCTGTGGCTCAGACTTAGACTTGGCCGGGCCGGCAGGTTCACTCTTTGGCAGAGGGGTATCCACATCACCAACACTGCACTTTAGTTTTTCTTCCTCCCTTTGTAGGAACACCCCATTTCTGGGCAGTCTTCTTGGTTATGGCCTGGAGGGATTGTGTGCCTAGATGGGAAGGTAAGACTGCTGTCCTCTCCCCTCCCCCCACACTTCTTCCTTTCTATTGCTTAATCAGAAAAGTGTCCCTTAGCTCTTTTTCCAAGCCACCAAGTTTGAATTGATCTTTGCTGCTAGTGAGAGGTGGGGAGGCACTTTCTGGTTCCTGCTAAAGTTACCTGACAGCGGAAGGCGTGCATCTGATAATTACAACTCTAGGACTTCCAAGGCCTGAGCGATTTAGCTAAGAGCAGTAATCCTGATCTTATCAGGAAGGTTTTGTAGTCCAACAGTGTTGCTTATAACAATATCTGTTTTACTTCCTGGGGCTTCAGTCGCCTCTTAGGATTCTCCTATAATCCTGCCCATTACCCCCTTGTGCATGTCTCATTACCTCCTGGAATCAGTTAAAAGTGGTGGGAGGGCAAAGATGTTTTTCTTTTCTTCCTACCGAGATCTGGGAATTGGACTTTTAACATTACAGCATCAAAGCCTGGCCAGCAGTAGAGAGCTATGTGGTGTAGGTGCTACCCACAGTAGAGCCAAGGTCTAGCCCAAGAGAAGGTAGTTCATGGATTGCTTATTCAAAAAATAACAGTAGTAACAACAGCAATATTCAGCCCAAATACTTTGGTTACATTTTATATTTCAAAGCTGTTAGTAGTATCCATGAGTTTGCTATCAGCCCCTTTGAAGTCTAGTTCCTTTGCTAATGACTACTTTGAGATTCAGGCCCCAGGAATTTGCCCACATCCTTGACCTTGGGGTTCAGAATCTATTAGATTATAGAGTAGACAGAAAGGAAACACATTACTATTCTGTGTTTTCAGAGAACACTCAGGAATCCCTATAGAGTTTGTCAGTATGTGTGACAGTGTTCTAAGGACAGGACGGTTTCTTAGAGGTTTCAGAATATGGGGAGCCCAAGTGAAGAATTGGAAGCTTAGCCTCTGCACTTTCAATCTGAAGGAAAGGGTTAACTCTTGCCTTGGGGAGGAGTGAGGAATGGGAACTAAAATTGCTTTGGACATCTGAGCTGTGCTTTAATAAGATATTCCAGGTGGTCAAGGAGTAATCCTAAAATAGCCTAGATACTTAATTGCTTTTAAAGTCAGGCGCTCCTGTCTCTGGGGAGGTACAGCTCTAAGGAATGCAGTGCTGGCTCCTAAGATCTTGGAGGCGTGGTCTGGTTGTGCCTCCCCCCCCCCTTCCCAAATCCCAGTAAAAAGAAAGGCCCAAGGTAGCCTTCTCGGGTCAGGAAACACTGGTTGAATTTCTCCCTTTCTCCTCCCCAGAAGCTTGGCTCTTGCCACCACCAGCTGCCATAACCTGCCTTCTTCCAGGGTTATGGGATATTCTCTCTCCCTCTCTCTGTCTCTCTCTCACACACCCTATCCACCAGAGACAGTGGTCTATTTTATCATTAGCGCTCAAAGGCTTCCTGCTTGATTCCCTGCCCAGCGTCTCTGCATTTCCATTCTCTTGGTAAGATTCACAGTCATCCTCTTTCTCTTTCCTACCCTTAGTACAGATCCCGTCATTTCTCCCTGGTCCTACTGCCCCCCACCCCACCCTGGATTCTGCATGGCTCCCGCACAGCCAGCCAGCAGGCCCCAGTGCTGGCTTTCCCTCTCTGGTCTTCTGTGCCATTTACAAAAGTAGTATGTCGGCATTGCAAATCATTACTGAGGGCCATTCAAAGTATCTCTTGTTAAATGAAGAGTCATACTGCTCCCTTACTGGAAAGACTACATATTGTGAAGGTGTTAGTTCACTGAATTATTCTATCATTTCATTGCAATCCAGATTTTCCTCACTGGGGGCAAGGGAGAAGCGGGAGAGCAAGTGATGGGGCTTGATAGATGAGTCAAAGTTAATCTAGAAAAAATAAGCAATTGTTTTTTTAATCGTCTCTCTCTCCACTAAGCTCCACGAGGTCAGAGGTTCTTAACTATCTTGTTCTTTTTCCCTCAGAACCCTTCACAGTATCTGGTATATTCTAGGTGATCAAATGTTTGTATGTGAACGAATATAATGAAAAATTGAAAAGTGAAAATCCCCCATAATCTCAATCCAATTAGGTATCTACATACATTTGTATGTTTATATTCTATTTTCTCCAACAAAAGTGGGTCATTAAAATCATCTAAAACACCAATTTAATAACTTATTTTTCTGTTCAGAAAATATCCACTGCCTCCCTCCTGTTCACAGTTCAGAGTTTAAATTTCCTCCTGGTATTCAAGGCATCTCACAGCCTGTTTCCACCTCAGCTATTCAGACTTGCATCCTCCCTGCCAAAACACGCCCTGTTTACCCCCCCACTCCATGCTCATTTACACTGTAAATCTTCCCTCAGCCCCTTCTTCCAGGCCGGCTTTATCTCCACCTTTCTTCCACCTCCTGGGCGCTTTGTGTTTTGGCACTTTGACTTGCTGTATTAAATGTTGTGTGTGTCCAGCTTGTTTTTCCAACTATGTGGTAAAACTCTCAGTGGGGAGAATCACTTTTTTTGGGGGTGGGGCTATTCTCAGCAGTTTGCACAAGGCTCTGCCTGGGGTGGTTTCTCAGGAAATCAGTGTTGAATGAATTTGTCATAGGGTCTTTGCTTCTCAGGACATAAAGGGCCCCTAGAGGCCCTCTCATCCAGCCCTGTCTCATGTTGGATTCCACAGCATGACGTCCCAGACAGATGGCCATCCAGGGGCAGAAAGCTGCCCACCTCCTGAGAAGGCCCCCTCCATTCCTGGGCAGTTTGGATTGTTAGAGAAGTCCTTATTCTGTCCACCTGAAATTGTCCTCATGACAACTTCTGCCCAGTAACTCTAGTTCAGCCCTCTGGGCTTTACAGAAAAAAAGGAAAAGGGGAAAAAAAAAAACAAACCCTTCTTCTTCTTCTGTAAGGCAGCCTTTTAGATATTCTAGGAGTGAATACATTTCCCCTCTGTCTCCTTGGTCTTCTAGGGTTGAGGTGTTGAGGAAGCACTGTGTTAATTTTGAGCAGTCAGGTTACACTTATTCATTGTTTTTTGAAGGCCTTTTATGTGTGAGTCACAGTGCTAGGTGCCATATTCCACTGGTCCTCCCAGAGACATAACCTGCTTATCTCTCTTTCTCTTTCCCCTGATGCCCTGGCCCCAGGGGAAGACGGGCCCATCCTACCCTGGATGTTCTGTTTTGGAGGTAGTGGTGAAAGGTTAGCAATTCTTATTCCAGTACCCCCCAGCACCCTAGATAAGTCTCCAGCCGATGATGTGTGAAGGCTGGTTTCCTGGCTGGCTGTACTTCCCAGATGTCACCAATGAAATGAATCAGGGAATTAAAGAATCTCCCTTTGAGAGGACCCCCGAGGGCCATGACTTGGCATTGTAGGCATTCTGTAACTGGAAGATTTTTTTTCTTCTCCTCCTCCCTCTCTCCTTTCCTGTTGTCCCAGTGAGAACACTTTGTGCTGTTCTTTCTACCCACCAGGCAGAACGGGCGTAACAGAGAGAGCCAGACCTGGGTTCATGATATATTGGCGCTGCCACTTGGAAGCTCTGAGACCCCAGGCCAGTTAACCCATTTGCTCTTTGAGCCACTGTTTTCCCATCTCTAAAATAACCACCTCTACATCACACAACTCAGTGAGAAAATGCCTGCAAAGCCCCTGGCCCAGCCCTTGCTGCACAGAAGATGCACAAACATCAGCTTGCCGCTCCCCTTTCTCCTTCCCCCAACCTTCTTTCGCTGCCATTTTTTGAGGGATTTAAAGGCACAACACCGTGGCTTCCCTGGGAAAAAGAAGCTGAATGTGGACATAGTAGCCAAAGTAGTCCTGGGTGGGTATTTGGGGACAAACTGTCAGTTTCCTGTGAGCTCCTGGTGAGATCAAAGAGGTTAAGAGGGTTCTCAAGTAGGAGAGGCTGGGAAGGTTGTAAATGGCAGTAAGCGAGCCCTCACCGAGCTACCGCTGACTTCCCTGCACGCATCGTGGGGCTATTGAATGTCACAGAGCCTGTTTCCCTGGGCCGTAGACTTGCCTGCAGCGGCCCTTCAACCGAAATGCAACTCCCTTTGGACGTGTGTTCCCCACACTCACGTCTGCCACTCCCCACTGGCCTCCCCACCATGGTCTCAGTCGGCCACACTTGGCATCCAAGAAAGAATCATCGCTGGGCTTCCAGCAGTCACACCCACAGCCGGGTGAATAAGCCAGGAAACCCGCACATAACCTCGAAGTGCCTAAAGGAGCTGTGTTTTGCAGTAGTTGATCAGAGCCAAGAAGATAGCGTGGAAGCCTATAGTCCTCCTTGTGAGAGGAGGGAGAACAGAGGCGTTGTGGGGTTGGAGGTCCCTGCCTTTCAGTAAACGTGTCCGTGCTTTCTATGTGCTGGGGGTGGGAGATACCCTGATGGGCCGCGCGCAGACGGGACAGAGGCGGGGGCACAAGTCACCAGCACACTAGGTGACAGCCCAGAGGAGAAAGGCGTTGATTCTGCCTGATTCTGCCCAGTGGGCAGAGGCGGGAGGCTTCATGCAGGGAAACAGCATTCCAGCAGGACTGTGAAGGGTGGGCAGGTCCAGGAATTACTCTCACTTCAGCCAGAAAATCCTGTGAAGCAGGGTTTAACAGCCCCGAGACAAAGAGTAATGCAAAGAGAGTGGACATTTCCCCATCATCCCCAACGGGATATTTTAGATTAAGTAATGGCCCATCCTTGCCTTGGACAGAAGAAGACACCTCCACTCCTGGGAAACTGTCGCCCTCTGTTTTCTTTAAATCATCACTAAAATTCCTATCTGTGGAATGGTGGGATTGCCCAAAGAGTTGGATGTCCTCTTTCCGTCCTGTTCTGGCAAATCTCCCTGTCCTCTGCAGTCACTGAGCTAGGGGTGCTTCAGACTAAAAGCCCATCACTAAGCAGATTTTTAAGGGTTTCATATACAGCAGGCCAAAGCTAGTGCAAGGTCCGACCCTCCCACCGCTCGGGTTCTGATACCATTTGAGAAAAGCTGGCGAAAGCCAAGGGGTCATGACAACCCCCAGTCCCCTCCCCACCCCCACCCCCAAGGCGTTCTCCTCTGTTCCTGAGCTGAGCTCTCGCACCTGGGTGTTTATTTTCACAGGTAGTCACACGGTGCTTGCACTGGTGTGCTGGTTTTGACAGTCCTCTCCTGCTGTGGGAAGCCCTGTCTGGGTTCTGGGTTGTGGATTCCGTCCTCCCCACCCAGCTGAGTGTTAAATCATTTCTGAGGGAGCATTCTGAGTGCCTGGAAGTTACTGTAATTAGCAAAAAAATGGTGTGTTCATCTTTCTTCGTGACCCACAGAGAAAGAATCCTCCTGTGAACAGAATCCGCTTCAGATTTCCAGCTGGAGAGGCTGGGAATTGAGCTGCCGCAGTAAACAGCTGACATAACAGAAGCAGCAATGATCCCCCATTAAATGTCTTTCAGCCGATAGGGGCTCCCAGGATAATTGACTTTCCAGCAGGAATTACTGGCTCAAACAAAATCACTGGGCATTAGGGCAACCTCCTGCATCCTTTGAAAGGGGGACTGTAACTCTGTCTGGTTTTGCTGACCTGACAGGCATAATTCATCTTGATTATTCATTGTGCTAGTTGCCACCAGATGACACCAGATTTCTGTTGACTGTAATTACAATGTGGGGATGAATCTTAGCTTTTTTTCTTTTTTTTTTCTCCTGCTTGGTTATTGGCCTCCCTGAGCTGAAGAGCTGTAGGGAGATCTCTTAACGTCTGCCTGGGGAGATGATGAGTGCACAGTCAGATAGCATTTACTGAGCACTTCCTTACACACATCTTTTACGAGATAAGCAGGGAAACAATTTGGTGTAGCCTGTTTCATTTCAGCTGACAGAGTGTCAGTTCTTCTTGGTTATACTTACCTCCCTGTGTACTAAATTGCTGCTATCAGAAAATGGGTCTGCATCTCAGAGCCCTCTTTGAGTAGGGGAAGCAAAGTATGGTCCCAAAATATAACTGAATAATAATAACCTCCTGCTTTCAGGCAAGCTTGATTAGAGGAGGAGATAGGAAAGAAGGGAATTAGACTAGGCTTTTGTATTATTGACAAGGTTTTACAACCCGATCCCTGAGCAGTCCAAAGAAAGTCCTCCCAAAAACCTCTGCTCCCCATCCCCAGATGCCCCTCCCCAGCCATTTGCACACCCCAGTGCTTGCACATGCACATGTAGTCCTGGAGGAGAAGTGAGAGAGTGATAGGCTCCGTGCATCTGGTCCCATCCACCAGGTCCTCCGCTGACCAGCATGGCAGAAGTAAATAGCAGACTTCTGCTGTGACATTTCATATTCCCCACTAGTGGAGGGCCTTTTTGACTCTTCTGTACGGTAGATGTGTGTATTTTTAGAAGAGGTGCTTAATTGATTAAAATAGCCAGTTATTGCCTTTTAGCAATGTTATAGTTCATCAAGCATTCACCGGGGCCTATTAAGTGCCGGGCAGTGTGCTGTATGCTGGGGGTACAAAGATGGATGAGACCCTTTCCTCTCAAGGAGCTTACAGTGTGGTGAGGATGATAGATAATTCCAAGATACGTTAAATTCCAAACTTAAAATGTACAGAGATTGCTTCCGGAGTACTTAGCGCAGCCACAAGTGAGAGGAAGGCTTCCCCCAGAAGATGTTGCCTAATCCGAGGAGTTAAGAGTTACCCAACTGAATAAAGGCAGGAAGCAGGTCCCAAGAACATAAACAAAGGCATATTTGCCATTTCCTCCTATTGGGCTGAGTGGTGTTGGTTTAACCTAATCAATTAAATTAGGATTAGGTTTTCGTTATTTCTCTGATGGAAATGCATTTTACCCTAGTGGCACAGTCTCTGTACCTTGGGAATAATATCAAGCTCTGAGGACCCTCCTATCACTAGACTTACAGCTTCTAGTGGGGAGGCTTGGTCGAGACCAGGACTTCAGGACCTGTGTCCTGCTCCCTGTGACCCTTTATCCTCCGCTTAGAGTGTTCATGAGGGAAGCTGGGCTAGGTGTCTTTAATAACATACCATATAACATACCGTATAGTATCTAAGCACGCCATAAAAATCATACAAATGCATAGACCATACAGAACCTGAAGAGAAGTGGTACAGCTCAGAGTGATGGCTTCTGGAAGATCAGCTAGGGATGAGCAGGTTCTCAGAAAGTCGGGCCTCTGTGTCCTTCTCTTTCAGGATTATCAAGGATAAGTAACACCCACCCTCTTCCAACAAATGGATGTGATTCTTCCACCTGACTCCCTCTTATTTTGGAACTGTAACTGAAAGCAAAAGATGTCCCTGTAGGAGTGGCAGAGGTGGTCAGCTGAGCAGTCTTTTATAGTCTAAGCCAGGATAGCACAGTTGCTGAGGGTTTTCGTCTTTGCCCTGAATGATTGCCTTGCCCTCTGCCACTCTGTCCTTTTCCCTTCTGAACTCTGTGCTTTGTTCCCCTTCAGAATGGTGGTTTGGCCTGGAATGATGATGCGGATGGAGGCCGGGGAAGAGAGATCTCTCGAGATTTTGCCAAGGTCTGTAATGTTTCCTTTGTGATAACGAAAGGGGCAGTTCTCCAGTGGGTTGTTGTATCTCATCCCCAAGGAATAAGGACAGGAGTGGCCTGTGAGTCACATCTGTAGTCAAACAGAGAGATGGTTGTGTATCTCTGGTGTGAGACTTTCTGCATTAGATGGAATTTTTCATTGTGTGTTTTTTTGTTGTTTTTTTTTTTCTGGGGGGACTGGGATTGCAGCTGTATGAACTGGACGGTGATCCGGAAAGGAAAGAGTTCCTGGATGACCTCTTCATCTTTATGCAGAAGAGGGGTGAGTGTGCAGTCTACGCAGTTTTTCAACTCAGTGAATATTAATTGAGTGCCTACTGTGTGCAAGTCACCGTTAGCCTTCCTCCGTGCAGAGTGCCAGCATCTTACTTAGCCCAGGAGAACAAGAGGCATTTCCTGCCAATCGGTTCTGGCCTTAGCAGAGTAATTGGCAGACAATGAGATCGAAATGGGCAGAGAGGGCCTTGGCAGAAAATGAATGGAATGATCCATCCAAACTTGGTCCTGCCTTATTTGTGATGCTCTCTTCTGATTAACTGGTCTCTGGAGGTATTTCGAATTCAAATGTACTTTTTCCTTAGCCTTCTAGCAACCTTAGACATCACTTAAACTAGTATGTGGGGTTTCCTTTTGGTGTACCTAGTCTTAAAGAGACTGAGAAAGGCCAATAAAAGAATAGAGGTCCCTCAGGATTTGCTGAGAGGGTCTGAAATGATCTGGGAAAAGGGAAGGCTAACTCTTTTTTCTTATCCATTGGCTCTTTGATTTTTTGCACGCACTGGCTTGGTTGGGCCGTTCCTGCAGTTTAGTTGTAGGTTGCGTGGGCATCTGCTTCATAATACACCTTCCCACTTCTCTGTCCATCTCTCCTTCTCATTCCCATCCCCCCTTCCCCAGCCATCTCCACTTTGGACCCTGGCGTGACTGAATCTTGAGCCCAGTGACTCAACTTCCTGGCTTTATATCCTGTCATAGCAATGGGTTCACCAGCCAGGTCAGCCCTCAGGAAGCATGGCCAGAAACCCAGCCTCTCTAGGAGAAGGTCCTCAGCAACCTGCATAGCTCCACCTTCATCACCTTCAGGACAAAGCCACACGAGAGAGCTCTTGCCTGGGACTCTGCTTATGTCTAATCATGCATTCCCGGGTTTCTGTGTCAGCTCCTTTATTGAGACATGGGACTGAAATCCTCCTCTTCACCTTAGGCTGAGCTATAATGGCAGCCCCCATCAGGTATGGGGGCTATTCTCTGTGAACTCTTTTCTCTCCCTCTTCCCCCCTTCCTCAACACACCCTTCCCTCTCTCCCCCTCCTTCCTCTTCCTTTACCTTCTAAAGCCTCATTGCTGTCCTAGTAGCATGCCCATTACTGCTGGTTTTTCTTACAAAGACAGTTGAAAGTTTTGAGTCTCGGTGTCCTCCCATCTCCAAGCCTCTCAAAGCAGTCTAAGCAGCCTAATTAGTTTACTCCTCCAACTGCTATCTGGAGCTGCATGTGTCAGTAAAAAACAAGAATATAATCCTGAAAGATAATGTGACTGGCAGCAATGAAACTCCCTGGTTGCCCTGAGAGCGAAAAATCCACTTAATACTTTGGTCTCCCTTCCAATTACCTTTTAATTATTTACACGCTCCACAAGCCCAGCTGGTGCAGACCCAGGAGCTGATCCCGTCTCAGAGGGGCTGCCATAGCAATATAGATTTTAATCAGCAGTGTGGCTCCACTGCCTTATTTTCTACTTTATTGTTTGTCTCCCTTCCCAGAAGGATTTTTTAAAGGAAAATGGAAGTTAGATCAGCCTAGCCAAGAGTGAATCTCGGAAATGATTTGTTTACTACTCTGTGTCCCCGCTAGAATAGGAGCTCCTTGAGGACAGCCACTTTATCATTTCTTTGTGTCCCCAGTCTAGCACAGGGCCAGACAGGAAGGTGCTCAAAAGGTGTTTGCCGTATGAGCAGTCCTATAGGTTTTCCTTACTCAGCAGGCCCTGCGCGGGGAGGCTGAGCTGCCCCCCTTTGATAGCCACCCTGTAATTGGAAGCCGGCAGCAAAAAGCAATGTGCGCTGCAAAGCCTTCCCCTCCACGGCGGCTGGGGACTGCCAGACTGCCATCGAGTAGTTTCTGAGCAGGAGTAAGTGACTCCCTTTGATCGCGTCAGTTCACGGTTATTCAGGCTGGACAAATCTTTTTTGTCCTCAGCACTTAAAACGTGAGGTATTTCACTGTTTGCTGGCATCACCCATAGAAACAGAGGAGTCCATTTTGCTACTTGTTAGTTACCTGAATACAAGGTTTCTCAGCCTCAGCATATTTACTTAGGGGACTGGACAGTCCTTTGTGGTAGGGGGCACCCCCCCAGTCATGATAACCAAAAATATCTCTAGACAATGTAAACGTCCCCTGTGGGACAAAAGCACATTCCCCCACCGCACCCCCCGTTGAGAACCACTACTATAGAAGGATGGGAAAGAGGGTGAAGGTCTAAAATTTCCTTTGCAGAGAAATTCTTTCTGGAAATCATCTTACCTCCACTCAGGTAGCAGGACCTGAGGGCGGCGGGGGCCTGTGCCGAGCAATATCACAAGGGCCCCTCCCGCGGCTGAGTGCTCAAGGAGTGGGTGCTGGGACCCTTTCCCAGGCTGGGGTTCAGGGGAGGCCTCTGAGAATAGCTGCACCTCCCCCGGATAGGAGGTAACAGGAGTGGAGGACCCACACAGGCGGAGGCAGAAGCGTGTGACCCCATGACCCGGGCACAGCCGGCACCCCACCGACCAAGAAGTTAGCACTCTGGTCTATGCACGTAGAACATGGGGAGTGTCACCAGAGCTGGGCCTTCAGGAAGCTTGCTGTGGCAAGCGGGGGGGGGGGCACAGAGGCAGGGTGGAGGTGGTTCCCTTTAAACTCATGGTGATCTCCTCCCTGGAAAACTCGCATCTGATCCTCTAACCTAGCGGGGGCGCCTCAGGAGGGCTGCGAGCAGATCAGAGTTTTACTCATGTGAAGCTTGCTGTCTTTGCTCTTCACACAGTGGTGAGACCGAGGGCCCCCTGGACATTTGTGACTGATTCATCACTCCCAAATCGGAGTGTCTGGGGCACTCAGGAGCCAGATATCATTAGTTGGGTCTGAGGAAAAGCCTCAGAGACGCCGGCAGCAGGCCAGCGATCCTCCTCCAGAGCTAACGGGAAGGAGAAACGTAGGATTCACAGGAGCCACTGAAAACGGCCTGAGTTTCATAGGCCTGGTGACTCCCCCCTGGGCCGGGAGTGGGGGCAGGCAGCTTTGATACTGCAGGCTGCACCGCAGAGGACGGGGACAGGGCTCTGAGGGAGGCAGCGGCCAGCAGGCTGCCCCAGTGAGCGCAGCTGCAGGTGATAAAACGGCTGTCCAGTGGGAGAGGGGCCAGGCCATAACTGCTGCTTTGTGCAGGGTCTCCTTCGCTTGTTAACATGTTTGAGTGAATTGACTGCAACAGATGGGCCTTTCAGCTCCAGGCACCTTGGTTTCTGGGCCAGACCAGGGTGACTTGCACCCCGTTGACCCCTCCCCCACCAGCAGAGCAAGCTGCCCTAGAAGGAGCCTGAGAAGAGACCCAGGCAGGGGAAAGAGCTGTAGGCTGAGTGCCAAGCCAGGCTCACATCCGCCCCCCACCCATCTCCATGAGCTAGAGCAAATCCTTCTCCTTCTGGGGGCCACAGTTTCTGTATATGTAAAATGAGAGGGTTCAGTTAGAGTTAATCTGGAAGTTTCTTCCAAGTTCTATGTTCTGTATTACGTCTATGACTGTCTTTTGAGCTCCCAACACATAATGAGCCACCCTGAGTGACCAAAAAAAGAAGAAAAGCCCCTTTAGCAATTTTCTATCAAAACAGTTGTGTTTTGACCCCCAAGACCAAGTGCTTCTCCCCTTTCCTTACCTAAGCCAAATTGAAGTCAACAAGTTGCCTTTGCTTCTGCTGCCCCACCAGTGTTTCTCTAGAAAGATTGGTTAGATTTCAGAGTTCCGATGCCCCTTCTTGCTTACCTTTGGCTGCATGCACACGCACGCACATGTGTGTGTAGAAAATACACACACGTTTCTTTGCCAGAAATAAAGCGAAACTATTGTAAATAAAATTCTCTGGCTAATTAAATTGACTGTGGGTGGTTTCTGAGATATCATTCTGTGATAGATATTCCAGGGGGAAATCTAAGTAGGCCAGAGGGGAACTAATTTGGAAGTCTGATAAGCAGAGGCTTATAAACAACTCCATTCTTCATCAGTGAGGAAGAAAAGCTTGTTTTCTTGTTCCCTAGGCCGTGAAACAGAAAGAATCGATTTTGCTGTTATTTTTATTATCCCGTGTACTTTATAGAACCCTTTCAACCCATTTTCTGATCTCCTCCCCACAGCTCCAGCTCTAAGGGGTAGAGCTAGAGCAAAGGTCACCAGGTTAAGGGACTTGCCTAGGCCACAGAGCCAATTTAGCATTTGTCCCCTGACTCCTGGGCCAGTGCTCTTTCCCTCTCCTGCACTTGAAAACTTGGTCCCTAGTACCAGCAGCTCCATCGCTTCCTGTTCGGGCAATGGGCAGGCCTTGTCTCTCCTTCAGCCTTCTGAGCCCCACAGAGAATGCTGGTCCGCCTCCATGGTGGGGTGTCCGGTAGGGTCTGACAGCATCTAGCCGATTAACTCAGAGGTAGAACTATTCGTGTAAGAGGAGTCTTCACCTCAGGGTAAGGCCTATCTCTCAGGGAAGGGCAGATGTGACAGTTCACAGTAGCACAGAGGCTGCCATCTGTCAGGGCAGGATGGGGTGGAGGTGCAGGGCATAGGAGGCGGAAGTTCTGACACATCGTGCACGCACCCAGAGCACCCTCTCCCTGCCCCAGCTGGACACACCAGGTAAATGAACTGCTTAGTCACACAGAGGACAAGTTTTGTCAAGACCTCACCCAGAGAACTGCCCTCCTTCCCCCACTAGTTCTGTTCAAGGCTGCAAACTGACCTTGGTTTTCCCAAATGGATTGTTGAATCTGGTTTTGATGTGTATATACAAAGAATTTACTGTGGGAAAAGGGTTTGGTCTGCCTCAAAGTGCAATTTGAGTGTTTTTCCTTCTGTTGTGTGCTTATCTATCCATCTCAGGCAAGGAAATGTTCATGACATATATTGCTTTGCCTTTTGGTGGAGGCAGTTTCTCATATATTCTTTTTATCTTGAAGTAAATGGTCTGTGCCATGGACACTCTTCCTGATCGACTAAAATATGTTGTCTTTGTCAGATGAAATAGGCTTTGGGGCTTCATTTTCTAACTTTATCCCCAAATGAAAGTCTAAAATGCAAATCTTTGTCTCTCAGCCTTTGTCTGAGGCCAAATCTTTTTCTCTCCTCAGGTGTTTCAACTACTACTGATAAACCGCTTTTTTCTTTTTTCCACTTGTAATAGTCATTTAATGCCCTATATCTACTAGTTATCCATAATAACGGGAAGGGATCCTGGTTTTTGGAAGGCATGATTAATTTGAAGAGCCCAATTTTGTCATTAAATTTAGCCCCCTCCACTTCAATTTTTTTTTTTTAAGATTTTATTTATTTATTTATTTGAGAGAGAAAGAGAACACGAGCTGGGGAGATGGGGAAATGGGCAGAGGGAGAGGGAGAAGCAGACTCCTCACTGAGCAGGGAGCCCAACATGGGGCTCAATCCCAGGACCCCGGGATCACAACCTGAGCCAAAGGCAGACATTTAACCGACTGAGCCACCCAGGCGTGCCCCCCACCTCCTCAAATCTTTTTTTTTTTTTTT